CCACTTGCTATTCACATGGACACTTTAATGGTTTGTATGGAACTCTCCTGCAGGAATGTTTCAGCTGACTGAATTTACGCATATCGTACTATTTTTCCGTCAATTTCTGCGTTTCCAAATGAACTTTCCGTACGAAACTCAACTGACCCTATCACATTACCGGCGCAACAAACACTGCCCGTGTAAACAAAACGCGCTATCGGAGAGTGGTCCCAGGAATCACACGAACATTCCTCCACAAGTTATACAAGAGAAATATTATGATATTGTATACATGAATGTTCCATAATGTTAGCATATGTTTCCATTCACTCGTCCTATGGATTTATCAATAAACCATTCTAGCCGTAAAGATCCTTCGTAGCTCGAGATCAAGACGGTAATTAGTCAGATAGGACAGTCGTAACCTTTTTCGTCTGGGAGATGTTCCGTCTGCAATAGATACCTGCGGAAAGCCTCAAATCAGACGAAAACGCAAAAATTGACGGAAAGAGTGCTCATGTTATAAGGCCTTTATTCACACACGAATCAACTTATTCTACGGATTTTTCTTCATCGACAGAAGCAAGATTTACACGAATTTATTAAATTTGTTATCCAAAAAGCCTGTACATAATGACAACAAAGTCAAATTCAGACGAAAACGCAAAAATCGACGGAAAAAGTGCTATGTTATAAGGCCTTTCTGTCACACACGAATTAACTTTTCTACGATTTTTCTTCATCGACAGAAGCAAGATTTATACGAATTTATTAAATTTATTGTCCATAAACCCTAATATTTATACGAATTTCCTCAGTATTGACCACAATTAAAACTTCGTCACACGTTAGTATCAAAAAGACTTAAATTTCCTTTTATATAAACCAATAAAACTTCTTCAAAATATTAATGAAGAGCAAGGAAGGATAAAAACTCGTGAAGAAAAACATTTGCGAAAGCATGGCCAGCGCGAGCCAGGATGAAAACACCCAACGTTTTTCCTCCTTTTCTCCCTTATTCCCTCCTTATTTACACTTCTCTCCTCTTCCCATTCATCAACCCTCTCCCTACATTATTCTCCCTCTCCAATCCACTCACTTCGTCAAGAAAGGCGAAATAAACAAGAAATTAGCCGAGAACACGTGAATCACTCACCGCTCTCAGCAAGGTCCAACTGGAGAAGAACAAGTGAGCCGCGAGATGCGCAATCGTCCTCTCGCCTCGCCGTCTTATTTGATTTCTCACACTTGCACTTCTTTTCGTCAATCTTTTGACAATTCTAATTAATGTGAATACGAACATTCTCGAATATAGCTCTTGATCTGACTATGCTTGGCTTAAAAAAGTTGACGGAAAGGTTTCAGAGGAAACGATAATTATCGTCTGACTGGAGAATCGTCAATTCGCTCAAAAATGGACAAAATTTCGGAAAATTGTCAAAAACATTGATGGAAAAAGTGCTAGTGTGACGGCACCTTTATTCATCCTTGTCTCAGTTGGGATCTTATTTCTTTTTGCGTTTCATGTGAAGATTTATAGTTCATTTATCTGAAGCGGGTTTGGAGGAAATAATCGGTGTGATGTATCGCGTCAATGCTTTGAAAAGGGATGGGACAATTTGAGAACATGAATATCTGACACAATTATGAATGTTGGTGGGAGATTATCGCCTATATGTGCTATAATCAAGGAGTGTATATATTATATATATATATATATATATATATATATATATATATATATATATATATAACACATATATATGCGTGTAAATGTATGTATGTATATGTGTGTGCATATATATACACACACACACACACACATATATACATATATGTGTGTGTGTATACATATGTATAATTCATATACATACATACATATATATATATATATATATATATATATTATATATATATATATATATATATATATATATATATACATATACATATATGTGTATAAATGTATGTATGTATATGTGCGTGCATATATACACCCACACACCCACACACATATATACATATATGTGTGTGTGCGTGTGTGTATACATATGTATATATTCATATGCATATATATATATATATATATATATATATATACATATATATATATATATATATATATATATATATATATATATATATATATATATGTATATTCACATACATACACACATTATTCATACATGTATGTATGTATGTATGTTTGCATGTATATATGTATAGGTGTATAAATATGTATATATTATATATATATATATATATATATATGTATAGATAGATAGATAGATATAGATATATTTACATATATACATATATGTATATTGTAGTATGTTTACTTATTTTTCATATGTAATCATATATATATCCTTTATATATCAATATCTATATCCTGATACATGTACAGACATTAACTTAAAGCTGTCCCAATTCATCTCTCCTCCATATGATCTATGAATACTTTTTCTCTCCATGTAAGTCTGTCTGTCTGTTTGGTTTCATTTGTCTATCTTCTCTTTTTCCTTTGCCATTATTTGGCAGTTGCAATTATATCTCTCTTCCGCTTTTGTGTTAGCTTCTTGCTTTTATTCGATCTTCCCCCTTTCCATGCCTCCCCCCCCCCCACCTTCACTTTTCATTTATGTTATTACACATAAATCTAAGAGAAGAATGTAAATGCATTAAAACATGCAAGTGATATTAAGCAATACTCTTCAAATATCCCAATCCAACTAGTCTCATGGGAATAAACATGTGTACATTTGTATGAGATAGTCTCCTTTCATACATGTAAATTTCTTAACTTAACAAGTATAATTCATCTTGAACAACCGTCTTTAAATGATGCTTGGTTGAACCTTTTAAATGTTCCAAAAGTAATTTTCATATAACGCTGGGTTGTTGTATTTACAAATGTCAATATCTTGATTCATATTTTTACAAAGTGCATTTCAACTGAGGATATCATTCTTGACTCATCTAAATCCTTAATTTCTCTTCTTGGCAGAGAATGATTTAAAGAAACTGAAGATCTTTCCAAAACGTCTATCATATTTTCAATATGTAATTATTGAACTAACATCTGATTCTATTACTAATATTGTAATTAGTCTCCCTGAAATTAATATCTTTAATAACTTAATCATTTAGCTACATTGTGCTATATCCAAAAGCTTAATCTCTGAGTTTTGAAGTTCCTCTTCTTCCCAGTTTTATTTATCTATTTTTTTTTTTTGTTTCAAGTTAATGATAATGTCTTAAACAAATAGATGTGCAAGACATTATTTCGTTTCTAGTAAACAACTATAAAGGTATTCAATCAAACAACTTCTTATCTCTTCCAAATATATAATATTCACAGCTTCAACCATTTCTTCTCACATTGCACAACCAACGAACAAACCTAAAAACATGTTTATTCTCCGTCTTGTTAACCAATCTTATCCAAGCTGAAACTATCAGTTAAGGATAAATATTGAAGATGAGATCAGTAATTTAGAGATATATGTTTTTTTTTAAAGGTAAATAAGAATATATCTGACAACAATACCTAATATATAAGAAAAATTATGTACATATGAGCAAGCTAATAGTAAACCTAGTCAATTCTAAAGTTGAAAACACTTGTTATTGCTATTTTCAATTGCTTTTCACACTCAAGTTCACTTCCAGAAAGTTTCTGATTTTTTCAGATACGCACACACATACACTTCCTTCCGACCATTTCATAATTTGTGTTTTCATCATATTTAAAGCATTCTTCACTTTACACTTTCTTGCAGTTTGTGAACACTTTACTGAAGGGCACTTTGCGGGAGTTCAACTTTTACATAAACACTGGTAAAATATGATAATGGGGTACATGTATTAACATTAGATAGACAGTAATGACTTATCTTTATCTATGCTACAGAAATAAGTAGACTTCAAATCTTATAATGATTAGTCAAGTATCAATGGACATTTTTTTTTTTTTTAAGGGTAACATACGCTTGGAATGAAAATTCCAATTAGACTAAAACATTGCAAAATTTGTAATCTAGGCTGAGATATCACTCTCAAGAAAATATATATGGATTTGCAATTAATGGTCTGCAGTGCCAAACATTATGAGTAATATTTATACCCCTGATGTGCACTGGGACATCACTAAATACTAATAAATGCCATGAACTCGAGATGTATTTTCCCAAAATATCACTGAATAGATATGAAAATCAAAATGAAGGTATGAACAATAACTAGTGATTCCTAAACATAAATTCCACATATGGTTATATAAGTGACACATTTACTCATCTCCCATCATCAAAGCTGCAGCATATCTGATAAAACTTTTCTTCTCATTCATGAGTGGGAAAAAGAAAGTACAAAAGATATTCATGGCAAAATAGGGAGAGAAGCACCACATTACTCATACAATGTTCTGACCTTCATGAACACAAAATAAATCACAAAAATCTTGGATTAGACAAGTGGCATATATAAACACCCAACACATACTCCCAAACATTCTCAAGGAATACAAATATACACAAGCACACTCCTTACACAGCTGCATGAAATTCTTCATCTGCATATTTAACAAAATTTCTCTTTAAGCAGCAAAATTTCCATGTCTACTTAAACCATGACATAATCTACACAGAAGTTCCTTTCTTCTAGTTAGTAACTGGATTCTGTTCACAGTAAAATAATCAGGTGGAATGTAAACTTCATGTTAATATTCTAAATGCAATTAGTTCCTTCAGAGCAATCCTTGTGCACCTTTTTCTTCTTACAACAAAGTTTTACATCATCTTTTCATAGAATTCCAAGAAATGCACCTGAATCAACCTCAAACCAAAGGCACAGCAACACAAAAATTCTTTTCTATTCTTCATCTGATTTCTGCAGCATTAAACAAGTCTATCAAATTTCTCGAGGTAAGGTTGAGAGGCTGAGCAGGCTCCTCTTGCTCAACGACATTTCTGTGTGGACTTGGGGTGTTAGCCATGGAGGAGTTGAAGCTTGTGCTCTCATTCAATCGCTGGGTGAAAGGTCTTCCTGTCCTGGGCAGGGTGATACGGCGGCGGATGAAAGGTTGGACTATCGTCTATTCTTGGGCTTGCATTGCAGCTAGAGAAAAGGAAAAACAAATTAATATGATATTTTACTATTGTGTATTGTAGCTGCCAGAAGGGAGCTTTGCATTACTGAAAACCTGAGACATACTCTTCACACTGTAATGTAGCTGCAAGGATGAATATATAAGACTGAAACTGGGAAAGATTTCAAGATACATTTTTCAGATGGATGAAAAAAAAAATTGAACAGAATACTTACAAAATTCCCCATGACTTGTGTGCTAAATCTGCTTAAACTCCCATTTGAACTGTGAAACAAGTCACTAACACTGTGCCGTTAGACCCCTACAATAGCCTCTCATGATTGGTTCCCCCTTACATAACACGACTCACCTGTTCCTTATACTGGGTGAACCCTCAAAGAAGTCAGGTCGCTTCTTGAAGTGTGAAATTATAGGTGTGGAATTGCCAAACCCTTGTTGCTGAGGAACTGGTTGGTCTCACTGCTTGATGTGGAAATATCGCTCAGGGGCTGTGCTAGGCTGTGGTCATCCAAACCTTCCTCTGCAGGTTGGATAAAATCTTTTATAATATTTATCATTAAATGAAGGAAAGAACCAATAAAAGAAGAAAAGAAAGAAAGAACAGGATATACTATTGCAGAATAATTGTAAAAAAATACGCTAAAAAAACATGCTTCAGTATTTGGTGCCTCTTTAGTATCTACAGATTGCCTAATAAACAAGAGACACAACAAGGCACAAAAAAGCTCTCCCTGTAAAATCCATAGATTGTTCATACCATCTGAAAATCCCATGGTGAAGTCAGAGTCAGAATTATTCATCCTAGACTTATTGGGCGAGTCTCCCGAAGACCTCCTCCTCTTGCGCAGTCTGGTGATTGGGAGGGCAACAAAGGCAAAGAATGACATCACGTAAAGCCATATTCGCAACAGGAATCCTTTGGCCTTCATGAGCTGTAGAAAGAAAAAAATAAACAAACTTGGATGAAAACTTGTGAAATGAATATTATCTTTCTATGGGGATTTCAAGTTAACACTTCCTTCTATGATATAAAATCTATGAATGAATGAGTAAAAATTTTAATTTTTTCATGATGAACATAATCAACACCACAAACACTAAATGCATTTTTTCTTAACTGTTAAATCTAACTATGATGCAAATAATCACTTCACTTGTCTAATCTCAGACCAAATGCTGTGCCACATGAACCCCATCTAAGAAAAAAGAAGGAAAGACAAGTAAAGAAAAGAGAGAGAAAAAATTAAAATGAATAAATAAAGAGAAGGGAAAGGAAAGGAAAAGACAAAGAAAGCAAGAAAAAGAAAGACAAAAAACAAAGACAAGAAGAGGAAGAAGAAAGAAGAAGAAAAGGAAAAAGATGATAAAGAAGAAATAAACAGCAATACTCACAGATATCCTGAAGAATGTCTTTCACTCTCTTGCGAAGTAAAATGCGTCTTATGACGGGAAGATTGAGGGCTTGATCAGCTGTGAGTCTCTCTGATGGATCTGGTCGCAGAAGCCCTGTTAACACTGCTGCAAATCACTGGAAAGAGCTGTTGGGAAAAAGAAATATTACTTCAATGGTGAGAACAGAACACACATGCAAACAAGGATACAATTAAATTCACAGGAAAGAATACAACAAAAACGAAAATGAGAAAATATTAAAAAGTGCATAGGTATAACAGGAAAAAGAAAAAAAAAGAGAGAAAAAGATAAGAAAGAAAGAAAGAAAGAAAAGAGAGAGAGAGAGAGAGAGAGAGAGAGAGAGAGAGAGAGAGAGAGAGAGAGAGAGAGAGAGAGAGAGAGAGAGAGAGAGAAGAGAGAGAGAGAGAGAGAGAGAGAGAGAGAGAGAGAAAGAGAGAGAGGAGAGAGAGAGAGAAAGAGAGAGAGAGAGAGAGAGAGAGAGAAAGAGAAAGAGAGAGAGAGAGAAAGAGAAAGAGAAAGAGAGAGAGAGAGAGAGAGAGAGAGAGAGAGAGAGAGAGAGAGAGAGAGAGAGAGAGAGAGAGAGAGAGAGAGAGAGAGAGAGAGAGAGAGAGAGAGAGAGAGAGAGAGGAGAGAGAGAGGAGAGAGAGAGGAGAGAGAGAGGAGAGAGAGGAGAGAGAGGAGAGAGAGGAGAGAGAGGAGAGAGAGGAGAGAGAGGAGAGAGAAAGAAAGAAAAAAAAAGAGAGATAAAGAGAGAGAGAGAGAGAGAGAGAACAAAGTTATAACAATACAATCCACTAAACTTACAATACGCCACAGGAGGCAACTTGCCCTGCCTGAGCGACTGCCACATATCTCCCTGCTTGGGAAGGTCCAGGTCAGTGGCCAATTCAAGCACGGTCATCCCCAGGCTGAAAATATCAGCCGACGCACCGAACTGGAGATTCATAACCTCTGGGGCCAGGTATTTGGGATCACCTTCCATAGCTTCCTTCACAGGACCCTGTTAGGAGCAGGACATTTGTGGGGTTTGTTAATAAGTGTCATTCTTGGTGTTTCTGTTAACCCTTTGTATTTTTTTGTTTTTGTTTTTGTGAATTGTGTTACAAAGAAACTACCCCAGAGGTGTGATCAGTCATTAAGGAGTCAATGACTATGCCTCACATGACCTCAACTAATTTCACAATTCATTAATCATAAAAACAAAAACAAAGTTATCATGATTCATAATGTTATTAAAAACTAATATCAATATAAAATAGATACTACTTGGTGACTAAGTTCTTGTGGAGCCATCAAAGTATTAACACAGTAAACTAAAATCAGTGGACATGATGTGTATATCTTGCCATCCCAGCACAAAGGGTTATGAAGTGTGATTCTTGGTAAGAGAGGTATTTATTATTATCATTATTTTTTTGTTAATAATTGTGATTCTTTGTGAGAGCTTCTTTTGATGTTAATTTTGAAAAGAGTAGTAAAAAAGTGCAATGCAGCAAGAAAGTCATACTATATTAAATTTAAGTCTTGTTCATAGAGAAATGATGGAAAGAAAAACATAATTATCTGTAGCTAAAACAATATAGTTTCTTACTGACTCACCAAAGTATTCCTGAAGGTATGATGGCAAAGATAAAAGTGAACTTATAAATAAATGTGTGAAATGACAAATTCTGCTGAATAAGGAATATTCCAATTCTTCATTTTTTCCAAACATAATTCAAACTGTGTGGCATGTGTTTATATCAAGGAAAAATATAAAAAGTAGCAAACAATTTCAAAAAAAAAAAAACCACACACATAACAATAAACAAACAATAATCACATCAAATAACAAATCTCACACAATCTTAAAGACATTAAAATGAGTTAAAAATAGTTAATATATTACCTGAGATGTTTCAATGACTAGACCAAAGTCGCCAAGCTTGCATAGCCCATCGTAGCCAATAAATATGTTTTCTGGTTTGATGTCCATGTGCACCAAATGATGTTTGTGTAAGTGGCTTACACCCTAGAAAATAAGAATATATATATATAAAATCAGTTACACATCTGGCATGAATACTTTCAGAGTATGGATAAATATGGATGCAATTAACCCTGAAACCAATTGATCAATGATGTGAAGAGTAATACTAATGTGATCACTGGAATTAGACTTTGCTAACCAGTGAAGTGTAAGCATAATTTAGAAAGTTTCTCTACAAATTACAGAGAAGAGAAACATATAATGATCCAAAAAGTTAAATATATACTCCAGAGGTTAACTATAATGATTTCCTTTTTCTACTACTGCTTCAGAAGGTTGTCTGTATGTTTCTCTCATACCTGTAACAAATCGACTAGATAATCCCAAACAACACTCTCTGGAAGATCATGTCTGTCTTCAGCCATGTCTGCTAGTGATGTGCGGCACACTTCTGTCAAAAGATACAGGTGTTGCCTTTCTTCCCAAGCCCGATAGAACTCGACACAGTTTTTGTGCTTTGGGAGTTTCTCGTGTTTTTGGACTTCCTCCATTCTCCTCCGCCTGTAGATAGAGAAAGGCATGATTAGATGATGATTTTACTCTAGAAAAGAGCATCAAGTGAAATATACAAATGAACTATTAAACCCCTTTGAAATATGTACAGCAGCTGTCATACTTTGGTATGTCTGCTACACATTATAAAAGACAGTAAATCCTTTTGCTCTATATTATGAAATACTGACTTTTCTTTCCATTCTGTGGGTGCAAATGATATTAAAACTGATGTATTGAGATGCACATGATTCATATAACAAAAGTGACCCAAGGCATTTTCTTTGCTTATTTTATCACTTGAGAATTTTGAGTCTTGCATTTTTACTGTCATGCATGTGTACACATACACACACAGCTATGCAATTCCTTATGCTTTTAGGGTTAATGATAACTGCCACTGAGAAAGTCAGGTAGCAGATACTCACATATAAAAAAGTAAACAAATTATGCACACGACTAAAATATGCTTTCACAATAATCAGTCTGACATATATTTACCTGTCACCTTCCCTCGAAATCTTAACAGGGTTCGTTTGCATGCATACTGTCTCCCATCCTCTTTACTTCGGACTCGGTATACTTCACCAAAGAACCTACGCCAAGTTTTCTCTTCAATGGCATAACACTGTTCAAAGTAAAGTGCTGTTTTTTCTGCACTATACAGTGGACTCTGTACAATAAAAGCTGTCAGGAGAAACAGAGAATATATTACCAATTGTTAATGGCTTTCAGTCTGATAAAGATAAATTGTTAGCACTATAACACAATCATTCCTTCAAAATTCCAACCTCCTCAACTTTTCTTATTCACAACATAAATCCTGTTTTTTTCTGCTTCACAGTCAATGATACTCACATGTGTCGGAATCATCCCTGAAAGACACTGGCTGGGGTCGGTCGTAGTCGCTGATGCGCGGAAATATTCTTGTGACTGGACAACTCTTCACTGGAGCTTTTGGGGGTGGGGCAAATTTTGGTGTACCTCTAGACTGGAATGTAAATGCACCAATGTAAAGTCATTCATAAATCATAATTCATAATAAGTTTGGGTAATTTTTTCTAAAAGTTATGACTAATGGATTGCAACAACATTGGTAGTATTGGATTCCTCTCACTGTCTACAATGCATATAAGTAGAATTTATTGTGTGAAAAGCCCCCTAATCCCCAATGAGTGACAAACATGGCCCCAATAGCAGGGGAGGGTATGAAAGGTACCAGGGAAATTGAAAGGTAATAGATAAATAACCTACACAGTCAGTCACTATATTGTCTAATGCACGTACTCATGGTAGGAGAGAGCTTTCGACAGACTTGGCAATGAACTGTAATCATGTTGACAAATGTGGAAAGGTATGAATGAGAACAAATATCTTCACAATACAGGAGATGTATTTAACCGGTTTCAATTATATCTTCGTCAGAAATACATGAAACCGGTTAAATACATCTCTTGTATTGTGAAGATATTCGTTCTCATTCATACCTTTCCAGACTTGGCAATGTTGCTCCTGCATGGTGTTGTAAACTCTCTCCTGCCATGAATACATGGAGGATTCTTTGTTTTCCTGTGTGGTGGTTGGGGGTAGCAGACAATGCAATGACTAATTCTGTTTACACTATTCGTATTTTACCCTGCAATTTCCCTAGTACATGCCCTACCCTGTTATCAGACCAAGAATGTGGGGGTTTGGGGTATTTCTGTTCTATCATTTCTATATATTTGGAAACTCTTAAGTGAGAGGAATTCAATGATACCAAAATCATCACTATCTGAATGGTGCAACTATTAGAAAAAAATTACCATTGTATTGGTAATCTTTTATGAACTACCACACAACTCTACCCATGATATTGCACTCTTTAATAAGTGATTCTCTACAGTATGAGACGAAGTCCCCAACTCCACATCACTGGGTGTGCCTGAGGGGAGGGTTGATAGGGGGCTCTGCCTCCCAACACACCTTGGGAAATATAGTCTTACCTCGGTATGCACAGCATTAATAGAGCTGAAACTCGGGAGTACCAAGTGGACTTAGGCTGAGAATGACGCTTGCTGCAGATTTTTTTCCCTTTATTTGTGGTACTATTGTTGTGTCTACAGATTATTTCATAACTACAACTTCTTCTCTACAAGAACATCATATCAAATTAGCCCTAACTCTGTGCATCCATACAATAAAAATTAACGCTCCAATTTTCTAAAGCATGCCAGCAAACCATGTATGATCTGGCAAGATAATACTAGTAAGTCTATTAGAAATGGCTAAGATTGTAAAGCATCACATATAGTGAATCTAGAGAGAACACAGTCATAACAAATAAGAAAAAATATAGGTCTGAAAGGTAATGCCACTGACCTTTAACATTTAAATTTATATAGTAACATGTCCAATAATAATCAGATTAATATTAACTCTTAGAGTAATAACACTGTCTTGATATGTAACTGTAAAATAATGAGGGAAAACACCTAGAACCATAAACATTCTTGGTTAAAATGATCATCTGTTAAACATTTTCAAATCGGACACCATTTGCGCCTTCATCTACCTTTCAGGTAAATCTAAAAACCTCATAATTAAACATCTTGCATTCGATCTCCACAACTCAGCTAAAAGAAAATACAAAATCAAATTCTGAACGCATGGGAAAATAAACACAATTCACGGCCACGAAATGAAAAACCCGAAAACAAAAACAGAATTTCAAGGTCAGCTCCGCAACGGGAGAATACCGGGCGCCGAAATCAGATCTTTATTTTCTCTCTTATTTCTCATCTAATTTCGCCTTTCTCTCTTTCTCGCACTTCCTTACCTTCTTAGTGGATAGAGTTCTGTGTTCTGGAACAAATACTGGCGCAGGACGTTGAAACGAAGTGTCATTTCCACCAACCAAGATCATTTTCGCGGCAAAACAAAATCAAAATAAACATTGGAGGTTCAATGCGCATGCGCGAACTCAGGGGATACGAACGCCCCGAACGTTTTTTTTCTTTCACGTGCCTAAAGGCTTTTATTTTTTGTAATTATTTATTTAGAGTACTTAATTGATTATGTTTCAGGTTGCTATGCTAGGAGAAGACACCTTATTATACGGGGCTGCATGCATAAGACACTAGTTTCATATTTTTTTCTAATTTGGAATAATTAGATAACATATGGTATTGCGTATTTTTTGTTCATTGGAAAATCATTCTTGTGGACAATCACAACAACAGCAACAAAATGAAAATGATGAAAAATATTTAACATGAACCAAAATCAGCTGCTTTAATTGTGTAGAAGTGGTATGCTAATGACAATAACAAAATGGTTACGTAACGTAAATGATACTACAGACGTTTGTGATTTTAACAAAGGCAAAAGTAACAACGACAATGGTAATGATTGTGATAATGGTACTGCTACTACTAATCATTAAGTAATGATTAAATTCACGTACGACATTGGGATTGACCATAACGCTAATAATAAGCTTGTGAAACAAGCCCATAATGTTGGTCACAGAAATGATAATAGAAATAATAATAATAATAACATAATAATGACGATAGTAGCAATAATGAAAACAATGATGATAATAAAAAAAATAATGATGATAATGATAATGATAATAATACTAATGATAATATCAGGAAGCAACACAACAACAATAATAATAATGATTATAATGATAATAATAATGATAATGATAATAATGATGATAATGATTATGATAATAAGAAGGGTATTAATGATAACAGTATTAATGATAACAGTAAGGATAATACTGATGAAAATAATAAAAATTATATTAATGAAAATGATAATAACAATAATAATGATAATGATAATAATGATAATAATAATAATAATTATATAATAATAATAATAATAATAATAACAATACTGTTAGTAATGTTAGTGATTATTACAATAAGAGTAACAGTAATAATAATGATAATAACAATAATATTAATAGTTTTGATGATAACAACAATGATAATAGTGAAGATAATGATAATGAAAATAATGAAAATAATGATAATAATGATATTACTCATAATAATGATAACACTTATAATGATAAAATAATAATAATCATAATAATAATTATGATAATATTGAATAATAATAATGACAATAATGATATGATAATAATGGACATAATTATAATAATAATAATGATAGTAATAATAACAATGCTATTTATGCTGATAATAATGATAACAATGGTGATAATGATTATAGTGCTGGGGATATAATAACAATGATAGTAATAATTATGATAATAATGATATAAATAAAAATAACTGCTACTAATAATGATTATGATAACGATAATAGTAATGATAATGATATTAATAATGACTAATGATAATAATAACAATAATAACAATGGTAATGATAGTAATAATAATAAATAATAATAATGACAATAATGATAATCAAAATAATAAGATAATGATGATGCTAATAATGTATACTGATAAGATTAATAATAATAATAATAATTAGTAATAATAATAGTAATAATAAAACTAATGTAATAATACTTAAGATAGCGATGATAATGATAATAACGATATCGGTGATAATCATGCAACAACAACAACAACAATAAAATGATGAGGAGGATAATAGTGATGACAACAATAGTGATGATAATGATGATAACAAATGTATTAGTAGTTTTGGTTGTAATAGCGATAGATATTATAATCGTGATAATAATAACAATGATGATAATGATAATATAATGGTAATGATAATGTCACTATTGATAATTATAATATTGAAAGTAACAATCATAATAATAATGATAATAATAATCGAAATAGCACTAGAGATTATAATTATGCTAATAAGAGGAATGACAATAATAATGACAATGATGGTAATGGTTACAATAAATATTGATAATGATGATGACATTAATGATGATGATGATAATAATAGTAATGATAATAATAGTAATAATATAATAATAATAATAATAAAATAATAATAATAATAATAATAATAATAATAATAATATAATAATAATAATATAATAATAATAATAATAATGACAATAATGATAATATTAATAATGATAATAATGATAACAATAATAATAATAATAATGACAATAATAATGACAATGATGATGGTTACAATAATATTGATAATGATGATAACATTAATGATGATGATGATGATGATAATAGTAATGATAATAATAGTAATGATAATAATAATAATAATAATAACAATAATAATAATAATAATAAGACAATAATGATAATATTAATAATGATAATAATGATAATAATAATAATAATAATAATAATAACAATAATAATGATAATAATAATAATAATAATAATGATAATAATAATAATAATAATAATAATAATAATAATAATAATAATAATAATAATAATAATAATAATAATAATGATAATAATAATAATAATAATAATAATGGTAATGATGATAATGATAATAATCATAATACTGATATTGATAATAATAACAGTAATGATAATAATAATAGTAATGATAATGATAATGACGATTATAATGATCATAACGGTAATATTAACGGTAGTGCTAATGATGATAACGATAATGGTAGTAATAACAACAACAACAGTGATAACATTAACAAAAATAATATAGAAAACATAATATAAATAAAGATTACGATAATGATAATGATAATAATAGAAGTATTGATAGTAACGGTGAAAATGAAAATTAGTAATGATAGCAACGATAGTAATGATAATGATAATAATGAAAATTATAATGATTATTATCATTATAATAATAATGATAGTATTATCATTTTTTGTATTACTGTATAATCATAATAATCATCATTATAATTATTATTAATGTTATTATTATTGCCATTATCATTACTTTAATTATTATTGTTATTGTTGTTATTCCTATCATCCCAATTTTTATTATATTATCATTAATATCATCTTTATCTTCATTATCATCATCATCATTGCCATTTTCATCCCGATCTGTTATCATTACTATTAATGGTAATATTATCATTGCTACTATTATTGTTATTGTTATCAATATTATCATCATTATCATTATCATCATTATTAATATTCTTATCAGTTTTATCACTATTAACATGTTGATTATTATCATTATTGTTATCATTATAATTTCTATTATTCTTATCATTATTCTTATTCTTATTATTGTTTTTACACACATATTAGGTTATTATGATTACAGTTATTACTCCTATTATCATCATTACTATTATTCGCATCATCATCACTATCCCTATTCGGTAAAATAGATACCACTTTTCTCATTAACATAAATTAATTAAAAGATAATTAATAAGAATTGAAACTTGTTTTGCATAAAAACAACAACAAAAGAAGTGCATAAAAACACACAAAAAGCAAAGTCAGAAAATACATAAAAAGTTTGCATAAAAAAAGCAAAGTCAGAATATACATTAAAACTTTGCGTAATAAACAAAACAAAACACAAGTCAGAATATACATAAAATACTTTGCATAAAAAAACAAAAACAAAAAAGCAAAGTCAGAATATATATAAAAAACTTTGCATAAAAAAACAAAAACAAAAAAAGCAAAGTCAGAATATACATGAAAAAACTTTGCATAAAAAAACAAAAACAAAAAAAGCAAAGTCAGAATATACATTAAATAACTTTGCATAAAAAACAAAAACAAAAAAAAGCAAAGTCAGAATATACAGCCATATTGATCTTCTTCAGCCGAATCAATTAACATTCTATCGGATAAGGGGGGGGGGAGGTCTCGTATTAATGAAAAAAAATATAATCAATAACATAATGAAAAAATGTTTATGGAATTTTGCCTGTGTCCTGTGGATGTGTCGTTTTTTAATAATGAAAAATGTTTATGAAATTCTGTGTCGTTTTTATTATTGTTTGTTTTGTTCTGTTTATGGAAATCAATAGGAGATTTCGGTCTATACATTTCCGATACGATAGAATTTTGTTGGAAATACTCGAGTGGCTATTGTTGGAAATTCGAAAAGCCATTATTGGAAATATTCGAAAAGGCTGTTATTGGAAATAGTTGAAAGGCATTATAAATTGCCAAAAACAAAACAAAAACAAAAACAAAAAAACTTGCTAATGAGAATAGCCTAAAGACCATTTACCTATAAGTGAAAGACCACAGTATTTCCTATCCACAGTTTCGTAAAGTTTTAACTCTGTAGAAACTGCTATAGATGCAAATTCTCTATATACCCATAGAACATCGAGGAAAAAGAGTAAATAACGATAATACGATTGGATATCACTCTGTCCTTATATGGCAGATCGATACTGAAAGATGATAGAGTAAAATATGGATATAAAATTACTGTAGAAAAGGTATGAAAGAGAACGAATATCTTCACAATACAAGAGATGTATTTAACCGGTTTCGATTATATCTTCGCCATGTATTTCTGACGAAGGTATAATCGAAACCGGTTAAATACATCTCTTGTATTGTGAAGATATTCGTTCTCATTCATACCTTTCCACATTTGTCAACATGAATACGGTTCGTATAAGGTTACCATCAGTCGATTTACTGTCCGAAAGGGATAGAAAATACCAAATATTAGGGACAATAGTGAATGATTCCATTTCATCAACACCTGCTGAGTTAAATCCATCATAGAACGAGACATAGAAAGATAGAGATGATTAGCGAAGAGAAACACCTCATCGCTTATAGCAAATAAAGTAAATCCATCATATAACGAGACATAGAAAGATAGAGATGATTAGCGAAGAGAAACACCTCATCACTTATAGCAAATAAAGGCATTGGATTCCCCTAATGACAAGTGTCTAGGATTCTGAATGCATTCACGAGTACCGGGTCATAGTTCATAGGCTTCGAAGAGATCTGAACTATTTGTCTGCAAATCTATAAAAAAACAGAGATGGAAGAAAAAACAAAGTAAAAGTTAGTAATGTTAGAAGAATGATGAGATTTACCTTAGGAAAACGAGAAACAGGAGGAAGAAGAAAAGGATAAAGAAATATATATGTAATGAAGAAATGAGGAAGATCTCTATCTCTATCCATATATGTTTCTATCCATCTATCTACCTACCCATCTTTATGTCTATCTATTCACCTATCTATCTTTTTATCTATTTGTCTATCTATCTATCTATCTGCTTATATATATATATATATATATATATATATATATATATATATATATATATATATATTAATATATGATATGTACGTGTTGATGTATATATATACACATATATATACATATATATATATGTAATATATGTATATATATACATGTGTGTGTGTGTGTGTGTGTGTGTGTGTGTGTGTGTGTGTGTGTGTGTACTTATATATGTAATGTATATCTATATCTATCTGTCTATCTATATATACATATCACACACACACACACACACACACACACACACACACACACACACACACA